ATATAATATTTATCTTTCAGATGTTAACACTAAAAAGTTTTATACACTGTGAATTTTTATCTGATTTAATATTTTGTTTTGTAAATCATTATGTGGCAGGTATAAATCTTCCATATATTTCATATATTTCTTAATAAAAAAATCAAATAAAGTACTTTATACAATTACCTGGTGTATCTTATTGATTTTCTCAGACTACTAATTAAAGCAGATAAATTCTATCTAGCACCTACAACCCCTTTAAAGGCCCATTTCTTTAGTATGCTGAGCACCTCCTGCAAGCTGAACACCCTTCTCTTCCATTGACATATGAGAAGCACTTACTACTTGCAGGGCTGAGACCAAAATATCACTAATAGCAAATGTTTAATGTTAAGTTTATGGACCTTGGCACCACTTCATAATGCTATGTAAGTAAATTCTGAAGGCCAATCTAGTGGAAATGCAAGATTTGAGATCTGAACCCAAGCTTGCTCTCTTGTTTTTGAGCCAGCTGGGGCTAAGAGTACTGCAGAGACAGCAAATTCACCTGGCTTCCTGAAAATGCACAATGGAATTATTACCACAAGGAGGATTTTTTAAAAACAAACTTTGTACTTACAAAAGTTGCTAGTGATCAACTGCACTGAAGACTGTTACCTGTTTTATCCTCAGAACAAGGTACAGGCCATACAGCTGCAGAGCAGGCTGCCTCACTAATAAATGTCAAGATCAAGTGAAAAGTATTTCAGTTATTCAAAATTGTATCTTGAATATTTTCATGGAACATTGCTTATTGTTTAGTTTAGTTGGATACTTGGGGCCAAATTCCTATTACTGTCTCCTTAGGTGCCCTATAGTAAGTTGTTCCAATTCTATTTTCTGATTTAGTTAGTGTTATTCTTAAGAACCAAGTTTTCAGAGAGACTTGATATTTATGAATCCAGAGTTTATTTTCTGTGAATATTCTTCAATATTTGTTAGCTTTGTAATCCTTTTCTTCATCAAACTCAACTACTAGACTATTTACAGACAATAAACAAGCACAAATACTGTAAAAGCAAATTGGTTTAAAAAACTAACAAATAGTAAGGTAATCTTTCTGCAGTGTTTATCTAGTGCTGCCCATATATATAGTATGATCAGCCTTTGGTGGGCATCAAGCTTTGGGTGATTGAAAGGTGAAATCCTCTGTATTTCATTACTAGTCCACAGATTCATCCAGTCTTACTGCTACAAACAATATGGCAGAATTAATTTATGGGACTGCCAGATCCTCATCAGGGTTTTAGATACTCCAAAAGGTCATTTGAGCAAATTATTTTGTTTTTACAATCCTGTTAAATTATTTTTTAGGTTTTTTTGTGTACAGCAAACTGATTCTTGGACAGAATCCAGTTCTTGAACCTACTTATCTAAAGGAGTTTGGGGTGGGGGGTTCCACATTGCAACTGCAATTCTAGACTTTTGCCTTCTCTGCTTTGAGATGCTTTGTATTAATACAGTACACAATAGCTTTTGACTTTAGATGTATGAGGTTTTCAAACACTCTATATTGTACTTGTCCTTAATTGTTTGCAGGTACTGTAGTACACTGTATTACACTTGTCCTTAACTATTTGCAGAATAAAGAGATTTGCATATTACCAAGTACTATGGTAGGACCAATACAACTTTCCTTCTGTTACTCCTGTCAAGTTACCTCCTGCTTCAACTTGTTTGTATTATGTAACTTCCACAATCAGAGTGAAGACAACAGAAAATTAACTAGTGATGCATGAAGACCCTACACTAGATGATCAAATACCCATTTTAAAAATAAAGTATCTGCCTGCTAGGTAACTACTGTATTTTCATGGCTGCACTTGTCAAAATTTCTTCCTGTTGTCTGAGAAGTAGAAGTGAGTACAACTGAACTATAACTGTTCTAGTCAGTGTTGTGATTGATTAGCCTTTCAGATATAAACACAATTTTGGTGTAGTAGTATAAGCATCTTAGTAGTCCATGTACCGTACTTTAGCACTTATCAATATCAATCCCTATTATAGTTAGTTTATTCTGCATATAAAGAACTTGGTTAGATTGTAAAACTGTAAGATATACAGTGTCACGCTAAGTGAGAGAGAAGCTGATCAATGCAATATTTAAAGGCCAGGAGTCAATAATGAATATAATGAGAAAGTCTCATAGCAATGTCAGTTTAGTTCAAACATCCACAAATTATAATTGCCATTGCACATGATCTTGAAAACCTTATCTGAAAAAGTTACTTACTTGAAAATTGGTACTTTGGGGGTTGGGGTTTTTTTTGGTGGGGTTCAGTCTTCTGATGTAAAAATTAACAACTGAAGTAATCTGTCAATGTAATGTTAGCACCCTGTACTATAATGTTTGAGCCCTGGATGTCAGTAAGATGCCCCACGCATCAGGAAAGTACAAGGATATTACATTGTAGTAAGGGATGGAATATTGTATGCACTACTACCATTATCTCTAGTTCAAGGGAGGTCACAGCATTGCATGTCAGGAAAGTAGGAGTCTGAACACAACTTAGGAGCCAGGAACTCCAGAATTTGACTGGGAATTCCCTTATGACTTTGCATAAATCAAGAGGGCTTCCTGCCTCAGTTTCTCCTCTGAAAATTAGAACAATCTGTATTTGCTTACTTTGCAGAGTTCTGCAGATTGATTAATTATCTAGTATTTATAATGCACTTTAGTAAGGAAGTATTAGTAAGTACTAATTATTGTGAGTTTTATAATACCTGGCTTTTCATCCATAACTCTCAAAAGAGTTTTATAAAGAAACAATATTGTTATTCCTACTTTATAGTTGAGGAAGCTGAGACAAAAGGTGAACTTACTTGGCTGACATCACCCAGCAGACCATGGACAGGCAGGAAATAGAAGCCAGGCCACTTTGGTCCCAGTTCAGTGTTTTGTTCACTGATTTTTTTAAGCCCACTGGACACCAAAACACTTTACATAAGCCACTGGAATACCAGGGACTAGATTTTCAAAATGCTACTTGCCATTTTCCCACTGGCAAAACAGTGGGAATAGCTTCCCAGGATCTGTCTGAGTTACTCCAGGGTTTCATCCAAATCTACAGGGGCTGGAGTGGTGCAGGCACTAAGCTGCATGGTTGACAGCTCAGAGGTCTCAAGTTTGAGGTCACAGCAGAAGTGCTCACAGCGCAGCTCTATCAGATTCCAATGAATCTGCAAATTTTGCTAAATGCCTTGTACAAGGACACAAAAATGAAAGGATCCAAATCTATCAACTTTCATTTTTGAGCTAAATTTCAGCACTGAACAAAACAAAAAAATGTTCTGGAATTTCCTTTGAGACTCAGTCTTTGCTATTTTTTCATAAAATTATGTAGATTATAACAAATTGTGAAGGGAAATATTGATGGTAGAAAGAAAACTGATGAGAGAACCTATTCACATATAAAATTATAACACATCAGTATTTCTGATTCCAAAAGAAGCAAAGTGAGAAGCAAAAAGCTGTGTTCCACTGATATATCTTCAGGAATTTCAAGCACCACGTAGCTGTTACATAGACTATATTATTTAAAAAAAAACAAAACAACTGCATCATGTTGGAATAAGGCCAGCCTTCCACACTTCTTGAAGCATACCTGGCAAATCTGCCTGAAAAGTAATATAATCCAAACACACTTGCTTTGGAATGCTATACTGAAATGAGACATAGGTTTATCGATAATATTTTTCAGACAATTAATTGGGCACTTTCTTCATTTATACATAAATGTATTTTGCTGTCAAAATATGTTCTCTCTTGTAGGAAGAGCTGCAAGGTGGGATGTGCTGCAAATGTTTGCCCATCACGATAATGCTAGGGCCCCACTTTAATGTTGGTGAAACTGGATGGTGGAGCTTTGGGCTGCTTGTCTGAATTAAAAGTCTTCACAAGTGTTTGGCCCTGTAATAAAAGAGATACTTTTGCTTTTGTGGAGCTAACATACCACATGATCAAGACGTTAAACCACAGACGTGGATTTCATGTTACTTTACCCTTCATGTAATTCCTTTAATCTAGATATAAGGTTAGTGGTGTGGTTCCTGGTGGTTGCACATGCCGGTGAGAATCGAGTCCTGTACCCCCCCAACCTTCCAAGGTCGAGTGTTGAACAAGAGAACAGTCGCCTGGAGGTATGAGATGCGATTTTGAATTTCTTCTGGCTGAAAATGGCATTGTATCCAGATCCTCTGAGTCCTGACAGAATGCTGTAACCACTGGGTTATTACATAAAAGGTGATAGTGACAATGGCCTGTTTTTAAATTGAAAGAGGAGATTGTGAGGGACCCAATCTTGTTAGTATGTGTTACTATTGCTCCAAGCACACCCACTGGATGGGGTGTAAACTCACTGATGTTCTAGTTCCCAATCAGCTCTGGTGGAAGGGGTAGCATTTAGCTGCTCAGCCTGGGGCAGTCCTGGTTATGCCTAGAAACAGAACAAAGCTGTCTAGTAAGTTTGGGTACCTGCTGAAGGAGGGTTTTCTAGACTGCAATAGTTTGTCTAAGTCCTTTGATGTTTCTTCATTGTCTCCCCTTTATGATGGCTGTCATCAGCCATAGCTGCAGGAGGGACAAATTTAAATAATTTGAATCTTATTTCTACCTACATGTTTCAAAGAATACTTTTTACTTGTGCTGGCTGTAGGACAACTCTGAGATACCATTAGACCTTCTTATGGGGTTGCCAAATCCTTGTGCTGAGGATATGCATAGCACTTGCACACTAGGTTAAACCTTGCTTTCTTTGTGGACTTATATGGTGCTCAGGCCTTCTGTAGCACCTCTACAAAGGTGCTACCCATATCAAATAAATGGATGCCCAATATTGGATTATAAAAGTGAAAAAGGAGATGAAAAACAACAGTACAAATGGATACCATCATCCTGGATAGAAAGGAAATACACAGAGAGGCAATGTTTTCTTCACTTAAACATGAAATTACAAGCCAGAGAGACTCTCAAGGAAGCTTCCAAGTGGAAAACTGCAGGAGTAAACTGTAGTCTGCATGTGTATAATGGAGCGGCTTAACAATTCCAGGACTTGCTGAGGAAGGATCTTGCAGAGTTGCCTGTAGTTAGCAAACTGTTGGTTGAGGGAGCAGGTGAATGATATCAGCTGCATATAGACAAATTTCAAGAGAGTTCTGACAAGGGACATTATCTTCCTTTGGATGCCTACCTCTTTCCATAAAGAGGATAGATTAATTGCTGAAGGGATGGGAGACACTTGCAAGTATTTCCATTGGTCTTGTGGGAAGTTAAAAATAACAAGATCTGCTTGATCATCTGACACTTTGCCATCTTCTGTCCTAGTATGGCTGCTTCCATCCCAGACATGAAGGAAGGGGGAAATACTGGAAGTAACAGAAAAAAGCAAAGGTCCCTTGAAAGGATAAATAGAAGATACTTCAGCGAACCAGAGTGACAGCAAAGCAGACCATAATATGGCTACTGAGAGGTAAGAGGATCAAACCTTATGGACTATAACAAATACGATGTATTTTAACTAAAAGCTTGGGTTTGCCAGAAATCACTATAATAGGCTCTATCAAATGCTCAGCGTCTCATCATAAACTTGTTATAATCAATACAACAGACTCTTCATAACCTCCAAAACTAGACTACAGTTAATTACTGGCTTGATGGGAAAGCAAGCATACTATGACAAGTTAAGCAACAACTTTAAATCCTAGTTTAAATATATTACATTAAAATCTTTGTAAATTATGTCCTGTGTAGATGAAATGGGGACCCTAAATTGAAGCGATGGGTTTTAAAAAACACCGTTTCAATTTAGGGCCAATTAAACCCCCATCTCATGAGCACACCCCACTGACTTACCTCCCTCTCCAGTGGGGAGGGGAGGGTGAGCTGCCAGCGGGCGTAGCAGTCCCTGTGCTGCTGACGGGTGGGGAGGGAGCTGCTGGTGCTTCCCTCCGTGGCAGTGGCGGCCCCACCCAGGCAGCACCTGCCCGCAGGCACCCAGCTTGGGCAATCCCAGTGGGCACCGCAGCTGTGGAGGGAAGCACCGGGCCCCTGCGCAGCGCAGGCAGGCTTGGTGGGGGGAGATCAGGCTCACCGCTTTTCTTTGATGGAACCTGCTTTCCCAGGATGCTGCCAGGCTGCCTGCAGGCTTCATGCAGAGCTGCAGAGCTGCATGGAGCCCGATGCTTCACTTCACCGCTGTTGTGGCAGCAAACTAAAAATCCTCAAGGGAGTTTTAATTGCCTGCACCCCAAGTCATTTAAGGCACATTACGCTGCTGAATTTCCTACAGCGGCTGGAATTATTGTGCAATAGTCCACCGAGGTGTGCAAACACTGACACCATTAAAGTAGTGCAAAAGCATTTAGCCCGCT